GCTTGCTGTGAGACACATGGTCATTAAGCATCCTTCTTTAAAGAAACAGTGATTATCTTTACTGTGGAGCTGCAGTGGCACTAATGCTTTCTGCTGCAGAGTGATTGTAGAAAAGAATCCTCTCCCCATCTGGCCCGAGTTTGTCGGAGGCCCAGGTCTCTCGTTACACCATGCAGACAAGCCGGCCTGGGAACATATTGCCAAACTGCAGGGGCAAAAATCCCATTCACTGCACCTCTTTTCTTTTCTTTTTTTTTTTGTTAAATCTGTAACACTCTCCGGGGACCACCCGTCTTCCTGTTCACTGTCCTCATGCAGTGCAAAGTATGCAATGTAAAGCCCGAGTTCCCCCGCCCCAGGCTCCGTCAGCCACGCCCTGTCTGAGGTCAGGGCAGTGTGTGTGGGACACGGTGTCCGAACAATAGCCCGAGGGAGGCAGCCCCCTCACTCCCCCAACATTTTCCCCACTCTGCTCCTCTCCCAAAACAGAATTCCTCTGGTGGAGATCTGATCACAGTGCTGGACTCCGGTATCAAAAAAAAAAAAAAACACATCAGAAATTTATATCAGTTATGTCAAAAACTATTATTATTATGTTGTTATTATWACTATTATTTGATTAGGATTTTTGATGTTTAAATGCAAATTAATACAAAAAAATATGGTACAGTGGTTCCAAACCTGGGGGGCCCACCCCGTGGGGGACACTAGAACAGAGGGAGACCTTAACCATGTCTGCTTAGAGGTTGTGAAAATATTAATTTACTATTTGTATAAAAAACATCAAAACAAGTTCATATAACTTTCCTTTTCCAATTAAATGTTGGTAACTTTTCTTTTTATTATTTTATAAAGAGATAAAGTTTGAACATAACTTTAGGACAGTGGGATTAATGGGGGCCTCAGCTCGGCTTGGAAGTAAGGAAGGTGGGATTTGAGGAAAATAGATTGGGAACCACTGATCCTGAGTGTATCAGAAGATCAGGAAGTCACAAATGGCTAAAAAAAAACTGCAACAAAATATAAAATGGCACTGTCATTAAAAATCTAAAACCAACCAGAATCTCAAGAAAAACTTTCAGAGACCTTCAGAAAACCTGGAGAAGTATCGATGAAAACCATTTCTAATAATACAAAGAAATGATGTAGGAATTCTGTACAATGCTGCTCTTGTTTTTTCTAAACTGACAGTTACCATTGATTTTTTTTATTTGTTTGTTTTCTGTCTCTCCGTGGTAAACTCGTGAACCTGTCAACAGCTGAGATAAGCTCCATCTACCTGTGGCCCTGATTATAAACAGACAAGGTATTTTTTTAACATACCACAAAAAGATATAGACTGAATTTAGTCCTTGTCTCATAAAGAAAAAGAGAAAAAAGGTGGGTGAAGGTTCTACATTCACAGCCAGAGCCGCCACATAAATTACCCCATCATTTAAGCTTGGCCATAGAGGCATTAAATGTTTGTATCTCCAGGAAAGATGAGTCACTGACTGCAGCACCAAGGAGACATGATTAAGAATAACAAACATGCCAGAATTATTTTTAAAAACTCAGTTTAGACTTTTATTCACACAATTCACTTATTGGTGCAGCGTTTTAACCTCCAACATTTTTGGTGTTTTTCAGTCTGTATGTGAAAAATAATCCCCACAAAATATGTTTTGTTCTTATTTTAAAGCAGCCAGAGGGTTATCCTTTCACCTCTTACTGTGCCACTCAACGTCTTACTCACTGTTCCTGAAAGGATCATGGAAAACAATTGGCAGACTCCATGTGATAATCTGTCCCTACTGACCGACTGCAGGGCATTAATCTACCAAGAATTAATGATTAATGATGTGAAGACCTGTAAGGTTGGCCTACCTGAATTTTAGAGCTAGATTTTTAACACCTGCCACCTGTTTTTTTCCCCTATCTCTATGTATCTGTCAGTTACCAAAATGAACAACTGGACAAAGTTTAATGAAACGTACAGGGCGTAATTATTGAATGTACAGTATATACAACTGCTGAAGTCAYCCAAATTCAAGATGGCCYCCACAATCAAGCATAAACAACACAAAAACAGCTCGAACTCCCCCAGTTTCACAGATATGGACCTAAATTTTAGCTTGGAAACCTTTGCAACACATACTCTGACTATGATCCATCAGTTCTACATAAGAAAAAATCTTAGTCTAAAATTCTGGCACAAAAGATGGCAGGTGGTATACTGTTTATTCCTTCATTAAATACTAAGATTTTCATTTTTATACACACTTTGTTTYCCATTACAAGCCAAGTATAAACTGTGTAAAAAAACAGAGTGTAAACCTTAGTTTTTTTTAAGAATCCTACACAAAGACTTGACACTGATGTGATGGATTAAAAAGAAAGGCAACTAATTCAAGAAAGCAATGAATACATTACTGTCAATGACTTCAACATAAGAGGCCTGACATGTTGATGAGTTATCCAAAAACATTTCCACTGAATCTCTCCTAAAGTTGTGATACAACCTCTTCTGAAAAGGTTCTGTTTGGAGAAATTACAGCAAATTAACAAGAGTTAAAATCGAAGTGGCTGCCAAGAGACTAAAAYTTACCATGAAGTTAATAGAAAGTTTATAAAATCTCTTCTCGTTCTTGGTTAAGTCGATTAAAATAAAGTGACAAAGGACAAACRCCAGAGTTTAGCATGAACAGCAGGCTCAACTCCTGTGTTTACGGCCTTGTRGGACGTCTGTCAGAGGTGTTGTTGTAGCTCCATGAGAAGGTGACAACGCAGCTAAAATTCTGGCATGCCGGCTCCGTGTAATGTATTTACAGGACCCATTTCATGCATAATAAAAACACTCCTGCAGAGCCTACAAACAGCTCCGCTTAGAAAGACACACACTCCTAAAGAACATTTAATTTCCCTAAACCGCGAYCGCAGGCTCGTCACACCTCAAGCTGCCGAACACCAGAAAACTCCAAGACAAATGATCCGAAACTAGAAATCTCATAAGAACAAGTTGAGCTGAGTTTCCAGACTTGGACCTCGGTCTTCAGATGAGGTGAGAGCTTTGGGGGAGGTGGTGTTTGGTTTGATCTGTCACCTGATCGCCGGCCTGCTCTCTGGGAACAGGAAATCTGACGTTACTGGGCTGACATTCAGGAATGTGGGAATGTCAGGCTGCATGTTAACATAACTACAACCAGACAGAGAGGCAGAAAGAGAAAGAGCACAAGTGATGGACACAACTGATAACCTCTGCTGAGCTGGTTCAAATCAAAAGAAAGCGACATTCAGATAAAATGTTTCTGCATTAAAAAAAGCTCTAAATCTTACTTAAAGTTCCAGCTGATATAAAGTAGTCACAGATGCAAAACAGATTAGGTTTTGATATAATCCAGCAAATCTGATGTAATTAATCTGTGAAATCACATTATTTAGCAAATTATATCAACATTATAACCTCTATGAGACTTGGAGTAGTATCCATGACCAAGCTTGTAGCAGATAATTTAAGAGTACATTTTGAGAAAAATCTGAATTAATCAGAAAGATTTCAGGGCCAACTGAACACCTGGAACATATTATTGTGCTCKTATAAGCTTCATTATTTATTTATTTTGTACTGCAGTGCACATTTTCCTGCTGAATGGGTCACCAAAGGTTCTACTTGTATCAGGATTATTAAGGCGATACTTGTCAAATGAACATGCATGGATGTTACGATGTAAGGATTTTCAGCCAAAATTTTTCCAAAATGTCACTTTTTTATTGCAAAAACATTTTTCTGGAAGGGAGGACTCTAAGGAATGCATGCTTCCTGAGATGTAGTTACCTCATCAGAGTCACAAGTCAGGAAAACGTGCTGAAAAAAGTAATGATCGTTCTTGGGAAATGTTTTATATTAACAGCACATTTATGAGCTGTAATAAAAGCTAGCTTGTTCACACCCGTGTCTACATACTTGTGCACACAGAAGAACAAAGATGAGCAATACTGGGCTGGGTTTATTGAAACCTTCTAGTTAGCACAATGTAAAAAAAAATTTTTAAATCAGCACTCGAGGAGGTCACTTTATTAGGGAGCATGTAAAAAAAGCTGATGCAGCAGTTCTGTGTGTCTCTATTATACTTTGTAACCATTGTAGTCATTTGCTCATTGTTTACAGCTTGACCTTGTAACCTGTCTGCTGTTCATTTTTAAAGAGTTACCTAAGCAAATTAGTGTTTCTTTTAAAWAAAGGCGCTGTCCTTCAACTAAAAGAAGGTCAAAATGAAAATGTTTGTCTGCCCATTAAACTTTTGAGCTATCTACACAATATAGTTACTTAGGGTTATTACATTAACTTCTATTCATGTTAATAAAGCCAATATAAAGTACAAACAGACAGAGAGAGAAACTGATTAAGACGTTTTTCTGATTTAAGCTAAATCACATACAGCATGTAAATGCTGCCTACTAAAATGGGTCAGGTGTCATTATATGTAACAAATAAACAAAATAATAAAACTCCATGGCTGCACTGGGAGCAACGGATATATTAGACAAAAAGTCAGAACAGAAATCACAACAGTGACATGTTTGAAGCTCCCTCTGTAYTTTGAAGCTTATTCTCCATCCACCTCGTCCTGATGTTGACACTCAGTGTGGGGTTTCTTTTCACACAATCGATGCCAAAGTTGAGCACAGAGTAGAAACAGAGCCAGAGCTGAAAAGACCCTGAAGAACCCAGCTGCTGCCCGGGAAACCAAACTCCCACCAACTCCGGCCCCCTTGCTCTAAACCCAGCCCACCCCTCACCCCAACTCTTCAGCCCAGCTCCTAGTCTCTCTCTCTCTCTCCTTTCAATCTGCTGGCTTTTCCACCGTCATTCACACACTGAGTTTGTGGGAAAAAAAGTCAATGCAGGAACAGTGGAACGCACATTCTCCAAATATTTCCCACTGCTGCTTTCAAAACAGTCACACATGTTCGTGTTCTCACTGCCGCTCACACGCAGGGAAAGGCAGATGTACACTCACCTCGATAGCGGAGGCTGTCATCGTGGTGGTTGAGCTGGTGGTGGTTCTCTATGGCAGGGGGGCTGCTGGCTCCCAGCTCTGCCAGTCTGCGGCTGGTGGCGGACAGCTCAGATCGGAGGTTCGTCACTTCCTGAGTGGCGGACTGGATGGCCCCATCAATCCTCTGAGCCAGCTGTTTGTTGTCTTCCATCATTTTAAGGATTTTCCCCTGAGGAGCAAATCCACACAGAGCAGCATGGTGTCAGGAGGAACATCACAAGGGGAGTGAAGCTGACACCCTTTTTCTCCTCTTCAACACCCCTTTCTCCTCCACTCTTCTTCTCTTTAAAGTCTACTTTAGATATTCAAAGAAAATCCAGCTTCTTCTTCTCATCTGGGCTGAGCTAGATGTCTACCTGTTACTGCAGAGACGGTTTGTGTGGCCAAGCACTACAAAGTGAGAGAAAGCATGTGTTTGTGCAGAGCAAAGAGAAGCAAAAAAAAAAAAAAGCCCTGGGAGTGGAAGGAAGAGAGGAAGACAGAGAGCAGAAAGGCAGAGGAGGAGGAGAGGTGGAGCGCAGCAGGCGGAGGGAAAGTGAATGCTCCCGCCGAGGAGAATGTGCTGCGAGCAGCTGCTCTCTGAGAGGACCCTGCACACACTGAGATGACATGCAGCCTTTTAAATGGACTGTACCATGTGGTGGAGGGACAGGGGAGACTGGGGTGCGGATAGGCTGATGCTCTACAACAACTCCTTAACTACACCCTGGATCCCACTCTCTGTGGAGTCTGTAATGGGTTAGCAAATTGAGTTTGTAGTGGTGGCGGTGGTGGGGGAGACTGCAGATTGTCTCTGTTCTTTTTCTGTGTTGTTACACTTAGAACTCAGCTTCAACAAGCAKTATATCTTTTAACGTGCACCCACTTTCCCTTCCTCCCTCTCACTCAAGCGCCCACCGTCTTTTCGTGTCTCCCACCCCTCCTGCTCTGTTCTATTATACATCCACGTCTTTGTCCTGGGAAAGCTCACCCCCACATCGATTGAAGGGGAAGAAGGGGGCTGACACTGGGAGCCCAAGGGGGAAAGCATTTCAACACACAGCAAACTTTGGAAAGGACAGAGGTTCAGCTCTATATAAAAAAAGAAAGGGGGGTGGTGGTGGTGGTAGGGTTCCACACAAAGAGTAAAGGCCTTACAATCGAGCTTCAGTCCTGTGATCCAAAACAGTTGGAAGGATTATTTCTCAGCTTTAACTGTGGCCTCGGTAAACAAACACCACTGGTATCAGTTCTTATCCTTACAGTTGTAAAAATTCCATCACACGTACAAAAGGTTACAGAGCAGRGGCGGCGGCTGCGGGAAGGGGACTGCTGATCTTATCTCGAAACATTTCTGGATGCTGCTGAGCCACCACAATTAAAATAAAAAATAAAAAAATCTGCATTTGACATTTTCATTTCCCCTTTTTCAGGGCGGAAAGGGAGGCGGATGAGCGATCCATCAGTCAGGTGCTCAGGTGACAATAGCTCCGTTTGTTCATTGGTATTCACTCAGTGACGGAGCGTGACAGCCGACGAGGTGACGGCTCGGGTTTGAGATTGACAACCGAATTCCTAAACACAACTTTTTAATTACTCTGATGGTTTACTGCGCACTGCTTTATATTACCCCCTCTGTTAAAGTAATGGAGTTATAGTCAGAAATGTTGAAGTAACTGTCCTATTGATGTGTCCTTGAARGGCCCAGTTGAACTCATTAGCTTTAATGTACAGTCACTCAGCGTCAGAACAGCTATGAATGATAGTTCAACACACGAGCTGAAAAATAACTATACAGATTTTACAAGCCAACTTTAGCTATAAATAACATCTCCATCAGATTGTTAAAATGTTTACTTCTTCTGAAAATTAATTTCAAGGGTAGTCTTGAAACATAAAAGTTATGTCCTTGTAAATAACAAATTTTAACGACCCATAAAGCTGTGAAGTGTTTCTTTCATTCAGATTTAAAGTACCATTCAAACAATTAGTCAATTAGAAGCCAGGAACTCTGCAACAGTTTAGGTAATTGACTAATTATCAGAGTGGAATTACTCTTGCTTTCCACTTCAATTCCAAGTGCTTTCATTGTTTTTGAGTGTTGTGTGTGATTGTGAAATAAATATTATTGGGTTTCTAAAAAATCTTTAGCCATGTTTATTTGCTGCTTGCAGTGATCCAGTTGTTTAAAGTGCCTGCATGCATTTTCTACAACTACAAAACGTGAAAGACATTGGAATATTTAAAAAATTTGAAATAATGCACACAATTTTACCCATTTTATCTTTAACTGGCATATTTTTGTTGAACTTAATGCCGCTAAACTGTAACAGGAAGTGATGTCAAAGGGGAACTCACTGGTCTTTGTTTACTACTTTCTGAATTGTGACTACTCGTCATTTATCTCTGATAGTGTCTTAAAAAAATTAGAAAAACACTCTATCTGATTCTACTTATTCATCTGTGTGAAAGCCGCTGTAGCAATACTATGCTTATGCAAACTTTTCCCTTTGACATCACTTCCTGTTACTGCAATGCAAATATCTCAACCACTGCTTGTCTCAGTGGTATAATATTTTCTTTGCTGCATGTTTTTAATGTTATCTATCCAAAAATACAAATTTTTAAATCATTAAAATTTCACGCCACAGGCACTTTTAAGGTTAGAGTTGGGTTTCTGAGTATAAATCATAAGTTGCTGGACCTGTTATGTCTGTAAACTGAGCACAGATCAACAAAAAATGGATGGATGGATGGATGGATGGATG